TTCTGACATCCATTCTTCCTTGCCTTTTTATTGACTTTTAATTTTCTTCATGTTCGATGTCTTCCCAGAAACCTTCTGGTCTTCAGTGATTAGCATTTAGTGCATCAAATCTCTCTTGAAATGGTCTGTCTCAAAGTTCAGATGAGATGTATCCAAGGGTGTGCTTTGGTTCTCGTAGATTTGCTGTTTTTCTTCAGCTTCAACTTGAACTTGCACGTGAGCAGTTGATAGTCCGTTCCACAGTCGGCCCCTGGCTGTGTCTTGACTGATGATATTGAGCTTCCCCCGTTGTTTCTTTCCGCTAATGTAATTGATTTGATTCCTGTGTAATCTGTCCAGTGAGATCCATGTGTATAGTCATCCATGGTGTTATTGAAAAAAAGTATTTCTGTTGAGTAAGTTGTTGGTCTTGCAGAATTCTGTCATGCTGTCTTCGGTGCCATTTTTATCACCAAGGCCATATTTTCTGACTACGGATCGTTCTTCGTTTCCAGCTTTCACATTCCAATTCACCAGTAATTACAAGTGCGTCTTGATTGCATGTCAGTCGGTCTCAGACTACAGCAGGTCATAAAAATCTTTAATTTCTTCATCTTTGGCCTTAGTGATTGGTGTGAAAATTTGACTAATAGTCGTATTAACTGTTCTTCCTTGTAGGCTGATGGATATTAACCTATCACTGACTTCAGGATAGATCTTGAAATGTTCTTTTAACAGTGAATGTAACACCGTTTCTCTTCAATTTCTTGTTCTCGGCATAATAGACCATATGATTGTCTGATTCAAAATGGCCAGTACTAATCCATTTCAGCGCGCTAACACCTAGGATATTGATCCAAGCATTCCATTTCACTTTTGATGACTTCCTATTCTCCTTCGTGCATTCAACGTTCTGATTACTAACGTGTTTGCAGCTGTTCCTCATTTTGAGTCATGCAAAATGAGTTGTGAGTCAAAGAACTGAAGATTTCAAAGGGTGGCTCAGGAAGACAAAGTTAAATATTATAATGAAATGTGCAAAGACCTGGAGTTAAAAAACTGAAAGGGAAGAACATCATCAGCATTTCTCAAGCCGAAAGAACTGAAGAGAAAATTCAAGCCCCAAGCTGCATTACTGAAGGGTTCTATGGGCAAAAACTTGAATGATGCAGGAAGCATCAAAGGAAGATTGAAGTCCAGCACAACTAGATGGTGCCCGGCTACCAGCACCCACTGCTGACAGGGATCACAACAGAGGGCCCTGGACAGAGCTGGAGAAAAATGTAGAACAAAATTCTAACTCACAAAAAAAAGACCAGACTCACTGGTCTGACAGACTGAATAAACCCCAACAGTGTGGCCCACGGACGCCCTTTTAACTCAGTACTGAAGTCACTCCTGAGGTTCCCCCTTCAGCCAAAGATTAGACAGGCCCATAAGACAAAACAACACCTAATGGGCACAGCAGCCCGGGGGCAAGGATGAGAAGGCAGGAGGGGACAGGAAAGCTGGTAACGGGGAACCCAAGGTCGAGAAGGGAAGAGGGTTGACATGTCGTGAGGTTGACAGTCAAGGTCACAAAACAATATATTGTTTAATGAGAACTAATTTGCTCTGTAAACCTTCATCTGTACAAAAAAAAAAAAAAAAGAAAGAAAGGCATACAGAGTCACTATACCAAAAAGAATTGGTGAGCGTTTGACTCTTTCATAAGTTAGCATATGATCAGGAGCAGCTGGGACTGAAGGAAGACGTTCAAGCTTCACTGAAGGCATTGATGTAAACAAGGCTTCAGGAATACCGGTTGAGATGCTTCAACAAACAGATTCAGCACTGGAAGTGCTTATTTGTCTGCGCCAAGAAATTTGGAACGCAGCTACTTGGCCAGTCGACTAGAAGGGATGTATATTCGCAACCTTCCAAAGAAAGGCGATCAAAGGGAATGCAGAAATTGTCGAACAATGTCATTAATATCACATATGCTAACGAAATTTTGCTGAAGATAATTGAAAACCAAGTATACCTGTATGTCGACAGCCAGAAGTTCAAGCCGGATTGAGAAGGGGACTTGGAATGAGGGATATGCTGTTATCAGATGCATCGTGGCTGAAAGCAGAGAATACCAGAAAGGTGTTTACCTGTGTTTTATCGACTGTGCGAAGGCATTTAACTGTGTGGATCGTAACAAATTATGGATAACATTACGAAGAATGGGAATTCCAGAGCGTTTAGTTGTGATCGTGTGGAACCTGTACATGGATCAGTCGGCAGTCGTTGGAACAGAACAAGGGGATACTATGGGGTTCACACTGGAGAAGGTGTGCGGCAGGGTTGTATTCTTTCACCATTCTTAGTCTGAATGCTGAGCGGATAATCCAAGAAGCTGAACCGTATGAGGAAGAACACAGCATGAGGTTTGGAGGAAGACTCGCTAACAACCTGATTATGCCTGAACGTGAAGAAAACAAAAACCTTCTATTCTTTCTTGTTTACTGCTGTAGTTTAAGTGGAAGTTTATATTTCAAGTTAGTCTCCCATACAAAAACCCATACATACACTGTTGTGTGACCCTGATTTTCTCCCTGTACTGTGACAGCACACTCCTCCTTTCCACCCCTGACTCCCCATGTCCATTCAACCAGCATCTAACCCTCTCTCCCTTCCCGTCTCACCTCCGGACAGAAGCTGCCCGTTTAGTCTCCCGTATTTACTTGAGCTAAGAAGCACACTCTTCACGAGTATCATTTTATGTCCCACAGTCCAGTCCAATCTTGGTCTGAAGAGTTGGCCTCGGAAATTTAGTTCTGGACTGATAGAGAATCTGGGGGCCATACTTTCCAGGGTTCCTCCAGTCTCAGATCATTAAGTCTGGTCTTTTTACTAGAATTTGAGTTCTGTACCCCACCTTTCTCCTGCTCCATCCGGGACCCTCTTGTATTCCCTGTCAGGGTGGTCATTAGTGGTAGCCAGGCACCATCTAGCTTTTCTGGTCTCAGGCTGATGAAGTCTCTGGTTTATGTGGCCCTTTCTGTGTCTTGGGCTAATACTTTTCCTTGTGTCTTTGGTGTTCTTCATTCTTCTTTACTCCAGGTGGTTGGGACCAATTGATGCATCTTAGATGGCTGCTAGCAAGCTTTTAAGACCCCAGACGCCACTCACCAAAGTAGGATGCAGAACGTTTTCTTAATAAGCTTTGTTATGCCAGTTGACCTAGATGTCCCCTGAAAGCATGGTCCCCAGACCCCCACCCCTGCTACTCTGTCCCTTGAAGTGAGAAAACAAAAATCTTCACTACTAGACCAATAAATAATATCATGATAAATGGAGAAGAAATTGAAGTTGTCAAGGGTTTCATTCTCCTTGGACCAACAGTCAACGTCCATGGAAGCAGCCAAATCAAATGAATATTGCATCGAGCAGATCTACTGCAAAAGACCTCTTTAAAGTGTTAAAAAGCAGCGATGCCGCTTTGAGGACTGAAGTGTGCCTGGCCCAAGCTGCCGTCTTTCAGTTTCCTCATATGCAAGCGAAAGCCACGCCGTGAAGCAGGAAGACAAATGGTGCGTTCACATTGTGGTGTTTGTTGGTGAAGAACATTGACTGTAACATGGACTGCCGGAAGAGTGAACAGATCAGTCTTAGAAGAAATCTAATCAGAATCTTCCTTAGAAGTAAGGACGGCGAGACTTCGACTCACATGTCATCAGGAAAGACCAATAGCTAGAAGAAGACATAACGTTTGGTAGACTGTCAGAGAAAATGCGGGAAACCCTCAGCGAGATGGACTGATGCTATAGCCACAACAGTGGACTCAAACTTACCAACAATCATGAAGATGCCACGGGACCAGACGGCATTTCATTCTGTTACATATAAGGTCACCGTGAACTAACACTAACAACAGAATTGTTGACCTGGTGCTAAATACATGGTGTGTTCAGTTTGTGGAAATTCATTGACCTGTAGATTTATATGCGTCCTTGATACTGTACTTCAATAATTTTTTTTAAGTTAAAAAATAGACCCTTATCGGGCTGCTTTGAGACTAGAGTAAGAGAATGTATGTGAAGCATTTCCATCAAGCCAGACACAGCGTACGCTGAGTGCCCAGGAGCTGCTCTCGCTATCCTTACCACCCAGGACAGCGGGCATCTCAGTTAGCCGGCGGGATCTAATTCATGTCATCAGCCGCTGTCGCTGTTGTTATCTTTCTAAAAGTAAAAGGCTCCTTTAAATTTACATACCAGCGAAATTAGACGTAAACTCTTACCACGGAGCAGAGCAGACAGAGCAGAAGCCTTGGCGTCTGAAACGGTAACCGTGTTTCAGTCTAACTATTAAATTCCTTTGCTGTTGACATTGGCTGGGTCCCTCTGATTAACTTCCGTAGTTTATTTTTTAAATAATTAAGTTGTTAAATTGTTAAACTGGATGGACTGTGAGCTCCTTGAAGGCAGGGATTGTCTCCTTTTTCCTTGTCGTGCCCCCAATGCCTAGCACAGTTCCTGGTGTTTAATAAACTTTGACGTATTAAAAAGACGGAAATCGACTTTACCGAAGAGAATGATCTCATGAACGTTAGTGCCTGCTCGTCCTGTTTCCTGACCCCCTTTCAGTATCTCATACTGGTTTCTGCTTTTCTCACATCTTTATTTTATGCATCCAGTTCTACAAATTGACCATCTGTATGCTTACTTGAAAGGCTGTGTAATCTGTATTCAAATCATAATTTTCTTAGCTTTTCTCCAGATGTTAGGTGTTCTGGTATTCACTGTTGGGAATCGTACTGCCATAACCATCTATATAAATCCCTTTTTCCCCTTCCGAATTATTTCCTCGGGCTGTATTCCAAAATGAATCAAAGGGCGAAGACAGTTGAGTAAATCCACTCAGACCATTATCTAATTTCGAGTCTTTCTCCATGACACATAAAGGATGATACCTTCAGGATCATAACGTTTCGTGCATTTACTGGCCGCTCTGGCGATCCTGTCTTGATGGGTTGTATTCTGACCTTCCAGGGTATATGAGTGTAACAAGCGTTGCAAATGTGATGCCCACATGTGCACGAACCGGCTGGTACAGCACGGGCTGCAGGTTCGCCTCCAGCTGTTCAAGACGCAGAACAAGGGCTGGGGTATCCGCTGCTTGGACGACATCGCCAAGGGCTCCTTCGTCTGTATTTATGCAGGTCGGTGAGGAAATGCAGGGGTTGTTTTCTGCCATTGGGACATGGTAGGGAATTGAAGCAGAGACCGTTGAACACGGGAAGGAAGTGCTTGGCACGTGAACTGGGAGTAAGGAGAGGCCAAGGTTTTCTTCCGTAAAGACCACGAGGAGTGAGGCGCCTGTCTGGGTGGAGCATGGAGGGACAGACGCACTCTGTGAAGACAGGATGGAAAGGAGTGAAGTTTTGGGGGCAGTGACGATGGTTTGGAGGAGAGACGCCATTGTGGAGTCCAGTATACTGTTTTTTCCTGCATTACCCACCCCACCCCCAGGGATCTTTTAGCAGAGCTAAGAATTTTGTTTAGGTCAACAGAGCAAAGAGGGAGAGATGGGAAGGGGTAGAGGGTGAGATGAAAAACTACAATGAGGTCCCCATACTCCCCTAATTAGGACGCTGAGGAAGGGGAGGTGACACCAGAGAGAGATGAGAGGCCATGTGGAGGCCTGTTGTCTCTGTGTGCTGGTGGACTGGGTATTCATGGCATGACCCTTCGGCCTTCCCAAAGGTCCCCACAACGCTCAAGGCCTTTAATGTGCTTCATTCCCAGGCAAAATCCTGACAGATGACTTTGCAGACAAGGAGGGCCTCGAAATGGGTGATGAGTATTTTGCGAACCTGGACCACATCGAGAGCGTGGAGAACTTCAAGGAGGGGTACGAGAGTGACGTCCCCTGTTCCTCTGACAGCAGCGGTGTGGACCTGAAGGACCAGGAGGACGGTAACAGCGGTACCGATGACCCGGAAGAGTCCAATGACGACAGCTCCGATGATAACTTCTGTAAGGACGAGGACTTCAGCGCCAGCTCCGTGTGGCGCAGCTACGCTACCCGGCGGCAGACCCGGGGCCAGAAGGAGAACGGACTATCTGAGACGGCTTCCAAGGACTCCCGCCCCCCAGACCTCGGTCCCCCACATATTCCTGTCCCTCCGTCTGTCCCCGGAGGTGGCTGCAATCCACCTTCCTCCGAAGAGACACCTAAGAACAAGGTGGCCTCGTGGCTGAGCAGCAACAGTGTCAGTGAAGCCGGCTCTGCTGACTCGGACAGCCGGTCATCCTTCAAGACCAGTGAAGGCGGGGAGAGCCGGGCCTGGGGAGGCCGAGGGGAAGCTGAGAGGGCCTCCGCTTCAGGCCTGGGTATCAAGGACGAGGGCGACATCAAGCAGGCCAAGAAAGAGGTAAGCAGAGGCAGAAACCTGAGAGCAGCGGCTTCATTTAATTTGGGTCATTCACAAACAGCGTGGTTTCACCGGGAGTCTTCAGGGTGAATTATTTACTTGGTGGATACTTCGTGGCAAACCCGATTATCTTCCCTCTCTTCTTTGGTGTTTTTAAAATTAACCTGCTGGTGGGGGAAGAAAGTACCTGACTTTTCCAAAGTGGAGGACTTAAAAACGATTTTTTTTTTTTTTTTAATTAAATGCTGTTTCTTGTTATCTACATCATTGCTTCCTTCTACTAGACTAGAAAAAAATCTATATTTTTGATGATGGTGAGACTTCACATTGCAGGTGGTGACCTTTGTCCCTGGTCCTTGCAAGCTTCCCCTCCTGGTGTTTGCCATGAGCATCAGACCCCATCGCGGGGAAAGGTCAGGGCCCCTGCAGGGGCTTAGGGATGAGAAGATGGCTGTTGCCGTCAGATTGCAGAGCGCCTTCTCCACACACATCCCCCTTTAAGTGCGACACCTCTCGCTGGCTGTCGTCATCTTTGGAGGTCACTGGAGATGAAGTTTCATCGTTAGATTTGGTACCGTGGACCTTGAAAGCGTTTAACCCTTCCCTTGCTCTTCTTATCAGGACCCTGATGACCGGAACAAGATGTCAGTGTAAGTGCTCGTCTTTCTGACCTGTTTCCCCATCCGCCTTCTCCCAAACCAGTAATCTCAGAGACATCCAACCCTCTGACTCACTCTCTTACTTCTTCCCCTCCCATCAGAGTTACTCAAAGTGTTCGGAATTACGGTTATAATCCTTCTCCCGTGAAGCCTGAGGGACTCCGCCGCCCACCTAGTAAGACTAGTATGCATCAGAGCCGACGACTCATGGCCTCTGCTCAGTCCCACCCTGATGTGAGTGACTTTCTCAGGCTGCACCTTAGCCAGCCTTCTGTTTCATTCAGTGTGAGTAATCAGTCTCCTCGCCTCCCCAAGCCCTTCACTGTCGTTCCCGTTAGGGCTTCTCTTGCTTCTGTGGCTTGACTTCCTGCCTCCTTGTCTGCCATCCAGTAGCTGATCTCCTCTTGCCCCTTCCTGCCTAACCATGGGTAAAAGCAGGGACTTGAAAGGGCTCTCCCTGTTTACCGTCCTTCCTTCTTCTCGCCCGTCTGCTGCCCCCAGGATGTCCTGACGCTGTCCAGCAGCACAGAAAGTGAGGGGGAAAGTGGGGCCAGCCGGAAGCCCACCGCTGGTCAGACTTCAGCCACAGCAGTGGACAGCGATGATATCCAGACCATCTCCTCTGGCTCTGAAGGGGATGACTTTGAGGACAAGAAGAACATGTCTGGTAGTCCGGAAGAATTTGGGGGGTGATGGGAAGGAACGGTAGGGAAGTTGGGACAGAACGTTTTTTTGAAGAAGCTAAAGAAACAGAGGAAAAAACAATCTAGATCCTAAGAGTGTAAGGAAGCATCTCTGAGAGGGCCCCAGCCTCACAGCTGAACTGTTAGTATCGTTTGACAGGCCTCCTCCTTTCTTCCTTCCAGTTCCCTACTCCACCTTCCGCTCCTTTGCCCACCAGATCGAGGCCTGCTTGGAAAACTTGCCGTTGAGGATCTTTGCCTAATTCTTGGCTTATTGGTCTTCCTGAGCAACAAATGGGATGAGAACGGGGTAGGATGTCCTGTCAGGAGCTACGTGGTCTTGAACCCACGCTTCTTCCTTTCCAGGTCCAGTGAAGCGCCAAGTAGCAGTGAAATCGACCCGAGGCTTTGCGCTGAAGTCAACCCATGGGATTGCCATTAAATCGACCAACATGGCCTCTGTGGAAAAGGGGGAGAGCGCCCCCGTCCGTAAGAACACACGCCAGTTCTACGATGGTGAGGAGTCGTGCTACATCATCGACGCCAAGCTGGAAGGCAACCTGGGCCGCTACCTCAATGTGAGACCCCTTCCCACCACCAGACACTGGATTATCCCGTGCCCTGGAAATTTTTAGTTCTCAACACAATTATATAAACCCACCTTTTCTTGTTACAAATTCTTGATCTCAAAGGATTTTAAAGTGGTAGCTTTGTTTCAAAATCTCTCTGCTGTAATGGGGGAGGGACAGATGGTGTCATCTGCCCTGCAGCTCCTACCCATTCCACAAAGCCAGTCTGTGTTCCGGGCTCTTACTCTGTCCTGTCCTTCGACCTCCAGCACAGCTGCAGCCCCAACCTGTTTGTCCAGAACGTCTTCGTGGACACCCACGATCTTCGCTTCCCTTGGGTGGCCTTCTTTGCCAGCAAGTAAGAGGGAGTCAGGAGAGGGGATGCTTGGGGAGTTCCAAGGGTCCCCCTTCATCCATGATCCAGCTCCACCTGCCCACCGCCACCCCAGGTGCCTGGTTGTCTGCTGTCTCCCCCACACCCTATCCGTTTCTTCCTCTTCAGGAGAATCCGGGCTGGGACAGAACTCACTTGGGACTACAACTACGAGGTGGGCAGTGTGGAAGGCAAGGAGCTGCTTTGCTGCTGTGGGGCCATCGAGTGCAGAGGGCGTCTTCTTTAGAGGACAGCCTTCTCCAGAGTCTCCAGAAACCCCCAAGCAGCCCTTTCCTCAGGAACTGGGTCTCCGACTGCTGAACTCTGACCCCAAGTCTGCAGTCTAGTGATTCTGCCGGCTCCTAGTAGATAGAAAGGGGGTTCTGGATGAGGAGATCCTTCCTTTGTGGTGCTAGCAGGCAGGGGCCTCCACCTCCTGAGGCACTAGGGGGTGGGGAGAGAGGACCTCTCACCCAGGCCTGACGTCCCCCGGAGTTCTCCTGTTGCTCACCCCTCCCATCCCAGGTGTGCTCAGGTGTTTCTTGCTTCCAGCAGCCCTGTTCCTGAAATGGGGGCTGTGTATCTGCCACCCCCCGTTTGTATTGTTTCTGGGAAGTCTTTTAACAAGATGGTAAAACTAAGATTGTGATGTGATTTCTCTCCCCCTCCTCAACCCCGCAAAGGGCAGCTGTTGTTGATCGGGTACCTTCTCTACCTTGACTTTTTGTCATGTGAAATTAAAAAAAGGACGTGTTCGCGTCACTGTGAGGAAGTCACCAAGACCATCTTAGTTTATTTAGTTCATCCCCTTCTCAGTTCCTAAGTCTCGGACACTTGTTACCATGTTTTAATCTTTAATATATTTTAATTAAAAAAAACCATTAACAGTACATTTTGGTCTGAAATGGTCCCTCTGCTGAAATGCCAGGTACTAGCCGTAATTCTGGCTTTAAAACCAAAACTCCGAATGTTTAATAAATAAAAATTAAAACTAGTTGCCATTCTACCCCAAACCCAGCTAGCCTAGCCGAAGAGAAGAAGAAGAAGGTGCCAGAGAAAGGCAGCTGGATCTTGAACCTGTGGCTACAGGGGTAGCTGGCGAAGAAGTAACATGAAGGAAGACCGTTGGCACAGTCCCCGCTTTTGGCAGAGGTAGGGTAAGGGTCACGTGCACCCTCCTACACTCAGTCTGTTTGTCTTAGAAGGGAGAGGTTAGAGGCAGCTCAGCTTTGGTTTCTGGCCCAAGTAGGGGGCTTAGAGGTGGTCCAACCTTGGCAGAATGAGGCCCACAGACAGCACAGTAAGGCACAACCCTGGCTCTGGAGGTCAGAGAGACGGAGCAAACACGAGGGCCCAATCTGAAGTCTAAGGAATGTGGATTGTAAACCCCACCCACAGAGCTGAGGAAGGGTCTCAAAAACAATGGAAAGGACAACTTGGAGGACAGAGAAGACAACCTGCCATCCCCTCGAACGGGCTATAACCGACCTCCCCTCTATGTGAGGACAGGGTTAGTCAGAATTTGGTTTAAAGGCGACCGGGTGACGAAGCAGCACAGAGAACTCTCCTCTCTCTCCTTTCTCCCCAGAGCCTGAAGTGACCCTGTGGGGAGAGCGGGGCAGTCTTTGGCTGTGTGCATCCATCTGGGGGGCAGCGGGGACCAGGGTTCAGTCATTCTTATGATGGTTGTTGTTGAGAATGGGATGGCCGTTGGCCAGGGGCCGGCTCTTTGCTCCTCCCCCAGCTGCAGCCTCCTCGCCCTCGGAGCTTTCCGTTTCTTCGCGGTCACTGCGTTCATCTTCTACCAGCTGTGGGAAAGGATAAGGAAGGTTACGTGATGTCTTCAAGCCTCTGAGAATGCCCTCTGTCTGTAGGCCTGTTCCTGCTATCCCGAGGGCCCCACTGTAGTTTTACAGAGGACTGCTGGTAGCATGGGAGGGAGCTTGGACGGTTTCTAGGATTGAGGGTAGGAGGGCCTACAAGACGGGACGGAGCCTTCACCTTTCCAGTTATGAACTTGTAGGCCATGCGCAGAATGAGGTAGGCCCAGAAGACATGCAGCAGCTGCAGCACTCCCATCATGGAGTTGAAGAAGTAATAGCCAAAGAAGGCAGGATAGAGCTCCAGGGGGTACACCACTGTGCAGTGCAGGATCCTGGCGGAGCAGGGAGGAGACGGGAGTGTAAACATGGGTGAGGGGGTTAAGATGAAGGGGAGGTCCACGAGGAAGGGGTTTCTCGAGGAGAGGAGCGTGGGCTGCTCACCAGAAGGGCAGGATGACGAGCCGAGTGATGATGAAGACAATGGCGAAGGCGATGAAGATGTTGTTGCAGGTGTTCTTCCATCCCGCGTAGTTGAACATCTTGGCTGACTGCATAAATAGCCCGTTTACATCCCGGGCTCCCGCCGCCCCCTCGTCCACTCATACCGTTCGTCACCAGGGTCGGCTCTGGGCCCCCACTCTCCTGGTCCCAGGAACACCCCCTCCCCCCGTGCACCAACAACAAAGGACAGAGGGGACGGGGCCCTGCGTCGGGGTCTCCGAGGAGTGTCCTGGAAGCCTGACCTCAAGCAGGTAGTCAGAAGAGTCGTGGAGGGCCATGATGAGAGTCCCTGCCCGGACGTAATTGGCGAACCAGGAGAAGCTGAGGAGGAGGATGGTGGCCACATGGTGGATGATCTGCTCCTTGAAATCCTGCAGAGAGGGTGCAGGCTCCAGGGGACTTCTGCTTCCTGTCCCACTATTCCTCCTCCCGACCCCTTCAACTCCCCATATCCCAGTGGCCCCATCCACAGCACCCAGAAATCAAAGAGGAGGCTGTCCATCCCAGGGTCTCACTTTGGCCCCTCAGCTTAATGGCGCGCATCCTCAACCCACCTTGCGTTTGACATCGGAGGCGACGCTGAATAGCAGGGAGCAGTAAAAGGAGAGCTCGATCATGTAGTACCAGTACTGGGAGGGGATGATGCTCTGGGGAAGATGGGGGAGCACTGAGGGCCCAACGCGACTGGATCAGAGGCTTTCACCCCTCCAAACCCAGCCCTGGAGCCATTGAGATGATGCTTAGCTCCATGACGTCAGTCCCTTCTGCCAGTGTTCAGAGACCATCTCTTTATGGGGGGTGTTGGGGGGGGTCCTATCCTAAATTGACTCCCTCAATCTCATCCCCATATAAGGAAGCATGATCCCTCTCTTACCTGTATTGGGTACCCCTCCCAGACTTTCCTCAAGTCATAGAACCAGGGTTTCTGCAGAGAGATGGTGAGCAGTTAAAAGAGGCAGGGCCCAGATTCTATGGCCTCACCCCCACCCTGCCAGAGAACCAGCTCTCCAGCTCCCAGCAGCCTCACTTACATCCACAATGACAGCCATACCAGCGATGAAAGCAATCAGGTAAAACGTGAATCTCCAGCTGAAAGAGGAAGCAGACATGGCTAGGAGATGGGGTGGGACATGGCCCGGCCCTCCACCAACCCCCAAGTGCCCCCAGATCTCCTCCCTCAGGAACATGACTAGTAACTAAATTCACCTCCTGGCCTCCGCATCTCCAGACAGCCATGACCCGCCCCTCTCAGCGAGAGACATCAGACCTTCCTCTGCCACCCAGTTTCTCTTGGCCCAACGTCCCCTACCTGGCTTCTCGGAACTTCTTGAGGAGACTGGGCCGGTCCTGGTTGCGGCGTCGACGGAACCAACGTTCCACCTGGCGGCCAGAGAGCCCACAACTCCGTGACAACAGCTCGATCTCAGCCTGGGTGTGATGAAGAAGCCAGCTGCTTTCAGCTTCAGCACTCAGCACTCCCTCCCACGCCCTCCCAGTAATGACCTAAGCCAGCCCCACTGCCTTCCCATCTCTTCACCCACCAGAGCTGTGGTCCCAGCTTATCCATTCCTTTCCCTTCCTCCCACAACTCAGGATCTCCCAGGGAGGTCTACAGCTCAGACCTGCTTGGGCTGCTTGCCGCTCTTCAGGTAGAAATGCTCCAAGGTGGGGTTGGGGGGCGCCCGCAACCGAGTCTTCTCCTTTACGTTCAGGAGGGCAGCCAGCGGTGTAGCCACGTAACTGAGGAAGGGATATGAGTGAGGAAACACCTCAGTCTCCTGGTAGACCTAGGCCAGGAGGGGAAAAGGACTGCAAGCTCGAGCAACTGCCTGCTGGGCCTCAGTTTCCCCGATTTTCTGGCAACCCCCCAACCACAGCCTTCTTGGGCTGCTACCCATAGCTGACAAAGCTGCCTGTGTTCACTGCTGGCTAGGCGGGGTGGAGGGTCGGGGGCTGAGAACAAATACCCATTGAAGGGCCCGGAGGTGCTGAAAACAATGGCGCCTTCAGTGGGGGGCACACAGTAGGCAGGGACCTGGGTAGCCAGAGCACCAGGGACCCGGACCAATTAGCGAGTAGCAGACAAACTTGCAGGCCAAGACACTGGGTGGCTAGCAGCCCGGGAAAGCACAGGGTCGGCTGGTGCGCTCACAGCTCAAAGAAATATCGGATGATGAGGAAGAGCAAGGCCAGCGGAAGTGTGATGTAGAGGTCTGAGGCCTTGGCGTAGACACGTCCATCTCGATCCTCTAGGTCAGCCCAGGTTAGGTTCACAGGCAGCCACAGCCGTTCCCACCAGAAGCAGTCATACAAGGTCTGCAGCATCCTGAGTAGGGGAGGGGACAGGAGAGGGCATCAAGAGGAGGCAGCCGTGTGTCAGGAGACAGAGTTGTCCCGGTGGAGCAGGGAGCAGCAGGCAGTCGCCGAGGCCAGGTTCTGGTCCGTTTCTTCATCTGTCGTACGGCGGCTTTCCAGTTCCAGGACGCTGCAAGGAATGCCAGCAGGACCCTTCAGCCTCGCTACCCCTTGCTCCAGGACAGAGGCGGTATCCAGGCTGGCCTTGAAGGAAGGTGTTCCCTCCCAGCCCAGAGGAAAGAGTGGGGAGACTGTTCTCCACTGTGAGCTGGAGACCAGTGGGTGCCGCCCGACAGGCAGAGGGCTGAACCCTGGGATCACAGCTGGGCTGCTTCTCCAGCCGCCCCGCCCCGCCCCACCAGAGATGCGCTTGCGAAATCCCTCTCAGCTGGCCTGTCACGTCACGGGTCAGTATTCCAGCTCAAGGACTTTACCCTCCTGTCCTCCTCGGCTTCTCGCCTTGGTCACTGCTCTCTTGGGATGAGATCAGGTCATCCCTGACACCACTTCAGCTCCACCTTCTCTCCGCTTCCTCCCCCAGTAATGCACGCATTCTGGGTCGGTGGGGCACTCCACCCACCCCGGGGCACTGCCCCTTCCCCCTACAATTTAGCCAGAACAAATATTTAGAGAAAGAGATGGAGGCCTTTTCAAGTGAACAAAATTAAATATAATTATCCACATAAAATTTATGCCACACACCCATCCACACACACTCTTTCTTCCTACAAAAAAGTTGAAAACTGAGTAGAGAAGGGACAAGGCAGAACGCCCAGATGTGTTAGCACACTCCCTCTCTTCCTTCCAATTCTTCTGCTCAGCCTCATGGAAGGTGGGGAAATACACCCGACCCAGTCACCTGACTGCTACGTCTCTGGAAACCTAATTTTTTTCTCCAGGGAGGTACAAAGTCAAGATGACACACAAGCCTACCCATGGGTCCCTATCCCCATCCTGGCCAGCGGAAACTGGCGAGGGAACGTTCTCACTCTGAGGGTTAAGGATTCAGAGCGCTGGCAGGGGCCACGGAGGGGATGGATGGAGTCCCTTGTCCTGACTCCTGGGGCCCTGGGCCATCTTTTGTGTGTCTTACCCCTGCAAAGGTGAGAAGCTGGGGAGGAAAACGGAGGTGTCAGAGAGTGGTGAAGGGCAAGGGCCTGGGCAGTGCCACTGTCTCAGTCCCTGAACCAGACAGCACCTCCCCCTCCTGCTCCAGGCAGGGAGAGAGGACGGTGTGTGAGTGAGTGCATGTAGGGAGTTTGGACATGCAGATTAACGGGGGCTCTCGAGCACCTGGCTTGAGGCTTTCTGGAACCACAACCATCCCTTTCTGCCCTGGGCTTCCATTAGCACAGGACCACTCTCCCCATCTCCCCCAGACAGGCTGGCAAAAGGCACCAGATTCAGCAGGGTCAGGACGCCTGACTCAAGATGGGGGAAGGAAAGACAACTGGGGCTCCCCGCTGGCCCAGCTGCCACATCCCCACAGAGCCAAGGAGCCTCCTCCCATGGCGGCCCTGGAGGCTTCTAGGCACCAGCACACCGAGCCAAGCACGGGACCCCCCTAACAAGGCCGGAGCAAGAAGAGGCAATGTGCACACCATGTAGGGTGAAGACCCTGCTTTCCCAGGCCCCTGTGGCCCTCGGCACAGTTATTTGATTTTCTCAAAGAGAAAGTCACGCCTACACACTTTCCCACTCACAGAATTTCCCCTCCACACATGAAAAGACACAGCGTTTGTGTGTGTGTTTTCTCTGTCTCAGACACACACACACAGACACGCACACACACACACACACACACACACACACCTGCCTCCAAGACAGACACACAACTTTCTGAGACACACGGGGCCAGCAGAGCAGGGGTTTCATGGGCACTGGGTTACTGGGAATTTGAGTGGGGCTCCACCCAGCCTCCACCCTTTACCCTAACTCTGACTGAGCCCCCAGACCCTCACATGTGGATGAAAAGGGGGAAAGGGTCTCCACAGAGGCTTACGGACCCAGAAGGCTGGGAGAGCAGAAGTTTGAGCCTGTGGGCTCAGTGTGATACACAGTTCCACTAGCTCTCAGAGCTTCAAGGAAGAACTGAGGAAGACAGAAACGGGACAGCAAGGGAGGACAGAGTGACAAGGAGGGTCCCGTGGGCTCCTGGCCTCCACTAAAGCCACAGGACTACAGACAAGAACGAGATCCTGAAAAATCTTCCTTGTTGAAAACTTTCTTTTCACACGGCAACAGCGGCAGGTCAGGAACCAGAAGGCTGTGATCAATGGGTAAAGCCAAGAAGAGGTGTGTCATTGCTCGGGGCTGCAGTATAGGCCCAGAAATTTAGGCCGGATTGTGGGAAAGTTGGGGGCAGGAGGCAGCAAGAAGAGAAGTCCTCAGGCCTAATGTGGCCTGCAGCTTGTTTGGGCTGGCTCACCAGGGGTCTCGACACCCAAACGCAGCACACACCCCTCTCCCACCACCAGGAAACCAAAGCCCCCCCTGGGCAGGGAGACATCAGGAGGTTGAAGAGGCAGCTAGGGGACTGTGCTGAAGGGTACAGTAAAGGATCTGGCTGAACAGTGGACAGGAGAAGGAGGAACCCCTTCTTCCCAGGAGGAAAGCTGGCCAGAGGCCTCTGTTAGGGGATGGGGTGTGGGGCATGAGGAAAGACAAGGAACTCTCTCTCTTTGTAGAACAGTTTGTGCAGGTCACCGCATGGCAAGGGCCAGGCCCTGAGGGACAGGGCTGCTGACAACCTTATCCTTCTGGGCCCCAACACACAAGTGCAGTCTGTCAGCCACTCACATCCAGGCCCAGCCCCCAAACTCTGGTATGGGACACCCCCCAACCCAAACCCTAACACAGATATGGGGGGGGTGACTGCCTTCTGAAGGCCTTCCCCGATCTCTCCGAGAAGAGGGGCTCACTCTAAACTTAAGGATCCTCAGAATTTCCTGTGCTCAACCCCTTGCCTGACAATTTCAGGCTCCTGAGATCGGGTTTTGACGCTAGGAGCCTGGCTTGGGGGGAGAGAGAAACCCCACAAACCCAGGCCAAAGATTAGTGTCGCACACCTGCAATTAACCCACTTGCCAGAGAACCTCCGGGCCAGCAATTAGCATGCTCGGCCCAGAAAACCAGTTTCACCGGTAGATCCCCCCACTCCACCCCCATCACACACACCCCATAACGGTATAGGAGCCCTAGCCCTGGGGGGCCGGAGCGGACACCCAGAGCCACTCCTTCCTGTTTCCCGTTAAGCACATGGACGCTCTGTCCTCCCTCCCGGGTAGGCACAGCGGGCCGGGAAGCAGCAGCAGCAGCAAGTCCCCACTCTCCCCTCCCACTCTAGCCACGGGACCTGTCCACGGCAGAGGCGGCGCCGCGGGCGCACTGCCAGGCCGGGGGCACTCGCGCAAATGTCCCCAAGCTTTTCACTCCCCAACAAAGGAGCGCCAGTGGCTCGAGCCCTCCGCGAGCGACCCTGCGCCCCCGCCTCCCAGCCCCTACCTGTTGCCCAGGAAGGCTGCTCGGGGCCCCGGGCGGCGCGCCGGGGAACGCCGAGGCTCCAGGCCAGCCTGCCCCTCGGGCGGCGCTGGGGGCCAGGCCG